TAGCGGTTGGTGGTTGGGCGGGGGGGGGGGGGGCAGTCTCTTTGATGTGTTATCTACCTCCATGCCCGGTGTGGCAGCAGAAATGGTGGTGTTGATGCACTAAATAACGCTGCTGCCATGTTATCACCTTGCTTTGTTGAAACAATAGCAGACATTATAGTGCCTCAGGCACCAGAAGACCAGTGCAAGGAGTTATTTTGAATGCTTTCCCATGACCTTGGAAAATGGCTATGCAAATCTCACCTAGGTTCTTCCTTCCTGGCCGGTAAAAATGCTTTCCTGTATTCAGTCTTCTCAAATTATTTCTCTCCCAAGGTGTGAGCCCTGGTGTGTTCAGTCTGGGGGCAGGAATGACCCTGGGTGTTGGGTATGCAGTGCACAAAGGAGCATGTTGTCTGTCAGAGCCACACATCAAGAGCCTCCAGGTGCAGGGTAGTCCTTTGGCTTCTCCCCTGATTCATGACCAGATGCTGCTTGTCACCTACAGCCCACAGGGCAAGCAGAGCCAAAGGGCTGGAGATCCTGCCTCCTACACCACCAATGCTTGAGGTGCCAGCTGGGAAGCAGAGATGGGTAGGGACCAAGACACGAGAAACTTGCCAGGACTGTATCATCTTCTGGAGGCAGGACATGGGACAGAGGGATGTGAAGGTCCTGTCCCCTCTGATACCCTTCATGTGCCCATGGAGCAGCTGGGAGGAGCTCAACCCTCAGGCAAACGTGAGTGTATCATCAGTGAGAACAGACAGCAATTTCAATCCACTGAGCGCTGCCGATAACCAAAACAGGATGGCTGTTGTCCCCTCTCCACAGATGAGGCAGCTGAAGCACAAAGTAGAGAGATGGAGAGTTTCTCCAAGCCAGGGTCTGAACCCAGCACCCTCCCTCCCACATTTCCCCAGCTCTTGGTGCTAAGGGGATGACCTAGCAGACTTGGCCCTGCTCCCCAGCACGAGGCAGCTCAGCACTCTGGGACGTGGCTGGACCCAGGGCTGGAGAGAGCTGTTGCCCACAGGAGGTGGGAAGGGCTGGCAGGAGCAGCAGGACCCCTCGGCTGATCTCCCCTGTGCAGGAAGGCACATTTCTGGTCTCCCCATGGGGGTGTCAGTATCCTCTTTGCACCGTCTGCTCAAAACACCACTACAGCTTTGCAAGTTGTTCTCATTTTATTCCCTCGTTAAGAGCTCCACCTCCGGGTTCATTTCAGCCCTGGGGATGAAGGAGGCTGCCTGCGGCCCGAGGGCGACTTACGGGAGGCACAGGGGGTCCTGCCCTCCTGGCATTTGCCCTGCTGGCAGCTCCATCCGGCAGCCGGAGACAGCAACAAGGAGCGTTTGGGAGTTGCCAGCAGAGGGAGATGGCCAGCCACCTGCACGCGCTGCCAGACTTCTCCAATTTGGGCAGGTTGTGCTTGCAACCTGTAATTCCTATTCCTCCAAATTTCCCATCCTGCCAGTCAGGAGAGGTGCACTGACTCCTCTGACGCTTGCCCTTCTGGCCGTGTATCTTCACTGCAGCTGAGTACTTAAGACTTCACAAACTCAGAAGCCTGACTGCGCTGGTTTAAAGAGTGGCATTTTATGCAAACATTCCCAGAACATAAATCTGAGGTGCCTGTGAACACAGGCCCTTGCTAGCCTGATAAATGTTCTGCAGGTCAGAAAAATGCTGCCTGATTAAAAGTACTCTTTGGGCTTTGGTGGGTCCATATTAGTCTTCTGCTTTCTTCCCCCTTTTCTTCATTAAGTAGGAATGGATTTTATCCAGACCACTTATTATGGCATCTAGTATTGGTGTTGATCATCGTTTTGCAGCTGATCATCTAGAGAAGTGGGTTCTGGCAGCCTCAGTTGTCTGAGTTGTTCAGCACTCTACAGTTTAGGTACCTCTGGCAGGCATCAGTCTTAATATACCTCCATGTCCTTTTTTCATGATAAACCCATATCAACCCGCCTGACTAGCGTAATGATAGGTAAGGCTCAGCTTCTCTGATCAGCAGCCCACAAATGAAGAGCCTCGTCCTGCAGTGGGACCGTGTTTTGCATGTTGCCCTATGGAAATCTGAGTTCAGTTCTGGCAGTGAGACAGCCGGTGAGCTGCGAGACTTTGGGCTGTGACTTGGATGTCTTGTGTTGCAGTGAAATCAGGCTGCCTGCTTAACAAGCAGTCACTGCGCCCACCTGAGGTACAGGGACTTCTGGTTCTCTTTTCTCCCTGCCAGCACTGCATCCCCATCTTCCATCAGATGCTCCATATCCCTTATCTCCCCGAAAGTGCTGGAAAAATGACTGCAGGACTTCGCACAGCAGACAGCCGGGAACTCCCGTGGGAAAAGAGGACGTATTCAAGGATAGAAAACTTAATGGACAATATCTGTACGTAGGTTAGATACTGTATATAGGAACCTTGCTGGAAGTTTCCAGAGGTTCAGATAAATACCTAGAACTTCTGGAGTCTCAGACTCGTAGGATGCATCTCTACCAATAAATGAAGCAGTGCCCAGGATCATTCCCAGTTCCCGTTAAAGTGTTATGACAGGGTCTGGCCTGCTTTTCGTCTGTGCCAGACAGCAGTCTGGCAGACTTTCCTGGGCACGTCTCTGGGGTGCGAACAGCAGGGACCATTCCCCATGGGCTGTTTGCAGGCAGCCAAGCTCGGAAACAGGCTTTTCCATGCCAGTTTGTCTCAGCACCTGGAAGTGTGACTGAGCATTTTTAATTTAATAGTATAGAGTCCCTGATAACTATGATAACAATGACCTTAAAAAGGAGCAGTTTCAAGAGAAAATTACCCCTAGGACAAAGCACTAAATCTTGGGAACTTGGGTGATGGACTACCTGTAGTTGTGTTAGACTGTCAACACTGGAGTTGTGATTTAATGTTTGTTTGGTTTTTTTTTTTAAAACAACTCACTTTTCGGTCCTTTGATGCTTTTATAGGGCTGGGGAGCGGAGTATCATCGCCAAGATGTTACAAGCACGCCCTGCTGGATTGAGATCCACCTGCATGGACCGTTGCAATGGCTGGATAAGGTGCTGACACAGATGGGCTCACCTCATAACCCCATCTCCTCAGTCTCTTAAAAATCATCTCTAGAATTCCCTTAGGATGGATGCTATTGCAGGCAGTGGCTTATAGGATTTCCAGTGAACAGAAGCTTCTATATGTAGATGTATGTAGATGTAAATATATCTATACATAGTCTACTCCCCCCTTTTTTTTTTCATGCTACGTTTTGTGGTTTCTAGTTACTCTGATGCCAGTACAATAAGTTTAGAAATTCAGGTATAGCGTATCTGTTCTCTAGTACAAAATAAGCCAAATTCCTGCAAAAGTGTCAAATATTTCCTGTGAGCATCTTCATTCCCCAGCCAAGCCAGTAAACGGTGCGAATTCTCAGCACTTTCATGCAGATTCAGAAACCTGGCTGTAGCTGTTCCTAGTAGGTGAAATTCACCCCTCTGCAGGCAACCAAAGTCAGATCTCTGCACCGTTTATATCCATTTTACATCCTAATTTCAGGTCTAAAAGAGGACCTTAGGTGGTGCTCAGGACTTATGCATAGAGATGACTTTTATCCAGTGAACTGAAGGACTAAACTGCAATTCCAGTCTGTCTCCCTACTGCAAAGCATGATGGGACAACAGAACCTCTGAGGAGCTGAGGCACCCCTGTCTCCCCTAGGATTTGGCAGGAGGAGAGAGCCCTCGGGACGTGTTCAGCACTGGAGCCTTATCAGAGCACTCTGGACACATCCGAATAGTCTGATGCTGTTAACACAGTAGTGTACGGTACCGCTGCACTGAAAAGCAACAAGCTCCCAAAAAAAAAAAAAAAAAAAAAGAAAATTTGAAATATATGCCTGTAAGTTTAAAAAGTAATTAACTTCCAGTGCTTTTTTGCAAAGTACATACATATTTGCATATGTATCCGGCATGTAAACTGAGTCCTATCCATTATACAGTATTGATGTAGTTTGTTTTAAAGTTAGGACTGTCTGTAGTTAGACTACTGTGCTGATATCAAGGGTACATCTAAAAGGGACTTGAACTGTGATTCAGAAAAGGGAAATGAAGTGTGCATTGAAGAACCAAATAATTATCATTCATCTTGGGATAGTCTCTGTACTGGGAACAGGAAGCCCCACGCTCACAGGATACAATGAGGAGGTGGGAGTCAGCCACATCCATCCCCTGTGCCGGGCCAGTCCTCAGGATCTGACCCCAACACTCGGGTTTGACAGAGGGGGCTTCCCTGCCAATCACTTCGTACATCCCCATGGATGATTTCTCATCCTAGATACAGGCTTCATCATTTGCAGTGCTTTTGCCTCGCCTGTGGAGGATGGTGAGGCAGTGTAAGCCACGAACAAGCAAAGACTGAATCTGTGTGCAGAACCTTTTTTTAAAAGCTCCTTGTCTGTGGTCCTTCTGTAAGCAGGGAAACCTATTGCCCATACTCTCATCCACAGAGCCAGCCTTACAAAATGCTGTTCACTTGGCAACCTTTTCTGAGGACGCAGGTGAAACTCTTACTACATTTTGATGGTCCCCATTACCTTGCTGAAGGGGTAGAGGATTATTTCTTTCCAGGCATAACAGTCCACTGAAAATTGTTTTGCTTTAAGAGTCAGGAAGAGTGATAACTTCTCCAATCTCATTCCTCCTTAGAACACACCAGAAGTATCCTGAGAAAAAAAAATACGTTTTACAGAGTGTTTCTTTTCTTCTCACACAGTATCTGGTGCTACACATTTTACTGCATAATTAGAAGAGGATGCCTAAAATATTCAGCTATATCACATATGCAAATCAAATAACATTCACTGGAAAGACTTTCCACATGGTTTAGATGCTATGTAATACCTGTTACAGGGTGGTAATTATGAACAGAGCAGAAGAATCAGTAAACTAGCAGGGTTACTTCATTTGAATGTATCTTCAGCCTGCAGAATTTGTAGGGCAGAGGAGGATAAATTATTGTTAAGTTTGAGCAGTAATGGCAAGTTGTATAGGAAATTTGTAAATGTGAAGAACCCTATTCTGTCACCATTTGACGTCAGCAATGTCACTGTGGGATAGGAAAAGCTTTACAGTCTCCTGCAGCAATGAAATCCAATAATAATGTTACACAGAAATTCCAGGCATGCTGTTTACTCTTTAGCAGACTTGAGAGAGATCAGTTTGGAAAAAGACATTTTCCTCAGCTCCATCTGTCATCAGCATCACTGTAGCAAGGTACTGGTAACACGGTTTTTAGCATGTTTATTGCACCCTGTCTCCAGAAATTTCTCTGTGCTTTTCATGTTGCTCATCCCTTTGCTTTCTTAGCAGCTAAGGACAGAGAAAAATCACCTCCTCTGTCCAGGATCTAGCTCTGTCCTTTATCCTAGATTATTCCTTGCCTTTTAGGCTGAAACCTCCTCCCCTCCTAATATAGAGAGAAGCCTAGGGGTTGCTTTTAGACATTCCCAGCATTGTTATCTTCCTCACAGAGAGCAAAGGGGGATGTTCTGAGGTGCATCTGCTCTTGGGCAGCTCCAGAACCCAGTTTCCTGCCAATGCTGCAGAGGAAAATTGGATGGCCAGTGAAGAGAAGCAGGTTCTTCTGGGGCATCATTCGTTTCATCATAGGGCAGGTATTTCAAGTAGGTGAAATCCACTGCGCTCTGAGCATGCTTATGTCTTTCCATTGAGTATAAGGGGAACTCAGGGTCACTAGCTCAGATGTGGACTGCTACGTGGGATGTATCCAAAAGTAGGTGAGGTGGGCCCTAGGGAAGATGTGGTGGCTTTTCCAGCCTAGTAATGATGCTTGCTCAGTAAGAGTCTGTGTTGTTTAAATGGAAGTTGGTAAATTCGGAGCAGTTTTTCCTTTCCTTGTATGTCTGCTTTTACAATAATCCTCATACAAATAGGATTTGGCTTCAATGCAGTCCACACATGCATCTCATTAAAGGTAGTCACCTTAACATTCCCTTACTTGTAAGTAGAGAGGCACTTCTGGAGCATGATCCTTCTGACCTGTTCAAAGTGTCTGCATTAGGATGAGATGAATTTCAGCAAATTTAATTATTTGCTGAATGTTTGATCAAAGCACCTGATTTTGGGCAATCAAAGCCAACAGCCACCTCAGAGCTGTTAGCATTTGGGATGGCTGGTATCATTGTGTGAACTCTTTCCTATTTTGATGGCCTCTAGGGGCTTAGTCCCCTGTATGAGATGCTGTGCAAACACACAGCAGCTGACAGCTCCTTCCCAAGAGAAGGGGAGAGCCCACATCACGGGGGAGAAGTGGTAACAGTGGATGAGGCAAACAAGTAAATGGGAAGGTGATCCCTGCCCAGATGCAGTGATAAAAAGAAAGGCCAATAAACTATTTATTTCCCTTTCTTTTTGAACAAAGTCTCTCTTACAGGCTTCTCTACTGTGTGATTTGAGATCCGTTAAAAATTCAGGTTTCTCATAATTTACAGCAATGTAACTTTGTATCTCACTTTAATGTCTCCCCATTTTGGAAGGAGATATTTTCTGCTGAAAGGTCCTCAAGAACCTATCAACCTGTAGTCAATTTAAAGCATTTAAATGCACTCGTTAATACTCAAGCTTTGGAGACAGGCTTTCTGAGAGATTTAAAACCACTTACAGCAAGACTACTTCGTCGAAGGCAGATTTTTTAAAATGTTTTCTGAGCCATCAACAAGTCAAACCCTCTTGAAAGTTTCTGCGGAGAAGTACCACGCATCAGCAGGCAGTGGTGGGAGTTTGATCAGGCAGTGGCAGAAAGCTCATTCATCATGGTACGTAGACCGCTTGTTTTCCTATTAAGTAGCCAAGAGAAGACTGCTTAATTGCTGCCAGTTCTTCAGCAGCACCAGTATTAATATGCCATTTGCATCCAGAGGTGACGGCAGCGAATCTGGCACTCTGGCTGCATGGAGCCATTCAGGTGTCACTGCTGCTCTGATGGCTCAGTCCCATGACCTTGCACTGTAACAGCTGAGCAGGTACGGCATAGCCATGGCTGTAGCATTCAGAAGTGCAGCACATGCTTTGCCTCCCCATCAGAGGCTACCCCACAAACATCTTTTCTCCTCATGAGTATTTCAAGTTTTGCTGTGCTCAGTCAGAAGGATAATATATCGGTGACATGAAGGGGAGCAGTGGCCCCAAGTAACATCAGCTGGAGTTGAGGAAAGTCCTTCCGTGTCTCTAGCAGGTACTGTGTCAAGACTTTCACCCCCCTGAGCAGCCTTTCCGAGTGGTCCCTGCCTTGCGCAGGGCATCAGACTTGATGCCCTGCAGAGATCCCTTCCAATTTGCATTATTCTGTGGGTCTGTGCAGAGATTCAGTGATAACTGACTGCCCCACGCAGGAGCTCTCTGTTAGTAGAGACAGTTTAAGGATGAAACATGTTTATCCTCAGCTATTTCTGCATGAGTTCAGTGCAGGACAGAGTTAAGAGGTATTAATGTTCCCTCAGTATATAATCAACACTGCAAATGTCGCTCACTGTAAACATCATCTCCACCACACAACTCTTAAAATGGAGAAAATCAGGCATTTGTGACTGCAAGTTTATCTCACCTGCCCTTGTTCTTCCGGGCTTACAACACTCACCTTCGCCTATAAGCCCCCTATGAATCAGAGTCTCACCAGCGACTGAGGAGTTGCACAAACAGCTGGATTTACAGAGGCAGCTCAGGCAGAGACTATTTGCTTCTTGGCTGGATGGAAATGATTTATAAAGAAGCCTGATCAAATTTAGTAACTTTGAAGAGGTCTCAAGTATATGGCCAATTTTCCTGGCTCATTAGAGACTTCTCTGATGCAGCTATCCTTTTAGGAATACTTGAGCACTAAATGGTGCTCAGCACAGGAAAGAAACATTACATCCTCAGTACTATTCACCTCTCCCCCCGGCTCCTCATAACCTAACCAGACACAATAAAGAAAGATTGAGTCATAGGGTAGAGTAATTAAATACCATTTTTCAAAGTTGAGAAGTGCTGCCCAGAATACAGATTTTTATCATCAGAAATGTTCCGAATGTAACATGTCCCATGTGCTCTCCAAGACAAAGGCGAGAGGTCCT